CATTCCTGCCCTTGGCCTGGCCGACGGGGCTAGGAGCGGGTTTGCCCGTGTGCCATTGGCCCGGCCTCTGCTTCTGGGAGTGTCGGACAGCGTGGCCGACGCTAGACACGGGTTTGGGGTCTGGAGGACCTGGCGGCGAGCCCCGGCTGGACAGTGGCACATTTTTTGTGACCTTGTGCAAATGGCCCAGCCTCCGCCCTCGTTGGTAAAATGGGCTTAGCAGTATCTGCGCCGGGGGCAGCCGCCATGACCTCGTCCTGAGGGGGGCACTCCTGAGCAGCTTTCAGGGTGACTGCCTAGGGGAGGACCCAGCCTGGCACCCGAAGTCACTGGCTGGGCTTGGCTTTTAGGAGGGAGGGACTGAGTGGAGTCAAGAGGGGCCAGGGAGGAGTGAGGTTAAGAAGAGAGGTCCTCCCTGGGCAAGAGGGGTGGGGAAATCCAAGCCCAGGCACACTGGCTAACGTCCAGTCTTGGGATTAAGGAAAGGGTGTTGGCTATTCACTGTGACTCCAAATGGCTCCAGAATTGTTGTAAGCACCCCAGACAGAGGAAATGAGAGTCTGGAGTTGGGAGAGACGATGGAGACCTTGGAGGTTGATTTTGGGGGTAAGCAAGACTGGGCACCCTGGAGTCAGTGACTATCCGATGTTGAGGAGTTGGTGGGGGTGGGAGAGAGGGGTCCTTTATTCTGCTCCCATGGGAGGGGGCCCACCCCTCCTAGGTTGATCATCTGGAGGCCTGGCAGCCCTGTGGAGCGTGGGCACAGTGAAGGTCAAAGGGCTGTTTCTCCCCAGCCCACCAGCCTGCTCCTCACTACTGCACCCCCAACTTGATGCCCTGTGAACCGCCTGGCCCGGTCACCTCTGGCCTCCCCTGCCAGGAGCTGTGGTGATGAAAGTATTCCAGCTTACTCAATTTCACTGGCTTGTTTCTTTTTCTCAACAGGAGTTAACACTTGACTCCCATTGAAGATGACAGACCTCCAATTCCTGCTGTGAGGAGGGTAGGCTGTGCTGTGCGGAAAGGGAGAAACTGACTCCTCTTCCTGAGAGGCGAGCGATGGAAGCCTTACAATCCAGTACTAAAAAGAGGGTCCTTCCCTCATGGATGACGGCCCAGAAGAGCACAGGGTGGGCGACAGCCCCCAAGAAGAGGAGAACCATAGCGGCTGCAGCGGAGGCCGGCACCCGGTTAGATGGCACCTCCAGGGGAGTCTGCGGGGGTGGGGGGGACATCTCAGGGAGGCAGGCAGGCGCCCACCCGGGTCAGCCCACGGGGAGGGGCCCCGTTAGCTAGTGCTCAGAGGCCGCTGTCCCAAGTGCCGGTCTCTTCACTTGAAGAGAGATGAGGGCCAGGCTGCCCGCAGCAGAGCTGCAGGGCAGACTGACGACAGCTCGCTGCGGCTGGTGTGACCTGGAGGCTGAGGGACGGGTTGGCGGAAGGACGGTCACTGTGGGAGTCCTCAGGCTGCCAGGGAGAGGGATGTCCCTGGTCACAGGTCCTGGCGGGGCCCTGGGCGAGCCAGGCTTCTTTCCCGGCGGAGGGCCCAGGGATGGGACCCCCTGCTCTCATTTGCTTCTTCTGGTCCCCACCTGTGGCTTCGTGCCTTTGTTTCAGACTTCCTGCTGTGAAGACTGTGTACTGCATGAGCGAGGCCGAGCTAGTAGACGTTGCTCTGGGGATCCTGATTGAGGTAAAGTTCACTGTGTCTGATGACCTGAGCCCCTTCCTGGGCAGAAACTAGACCAGGCCAGTCAGCGTCAGCCCGAGCCCCCCCGTGGCTTTGGGCGGCCCCCGAGCCACTCGAGTCCCCCCATGTCCTAGTCTTCTCTGGCTGGGCTCCTCCTGGCCTCTCGCAGGTGTGGTGTGCCCCCACTGGGCATTTGGGGTTGGACACCTGGGACGGTGTGGCGGGGAGGGGGCCCAGCCCTGTGGAGGGGACAGGTGCTGCTGCTTGTGCCTGAGGGGCTCAGGGTGGCAGCTGACTTCTCCCTGAACTTAGCAGCAGGCCGCTGCCGCCTGCCGCCTGGCTGAAGTAATCACAGCACTTCCGAGTCGGAATATACAACCTGAAACTCGGTCCTTTTATATATTGTAGTCTCATGTAATTCTTTTTTTCCCCCTTTATATATATATTTTTAATTTAAAGATTTATTTATGCATGCAAGAACTGGGATGTAGACTAGAGGTGCGGGAAGGGGGGGTGACTCACCAGAGACAGAGTGGGGGGCAGACCAGGCAGTGTGACTGACATACACTGCTGAGGGGAGCAGCAGGGAGACTGGAGAGGTCTGCTGCACCCTGTGGGGCAACTCCCCGGCCGGGGGTCGAACTCAGGCCGCCGTGGCTGCTGAGCTGGGTAGTGCTGAGGCTGTAGCCCCTGCACCACAGGAGGCCCCTTTAACGCTTTGAAAGGACAGGTTTACTCGGGTAAGGAGAGGAGAGGCCCCTGCATAGTCACAGGCGGGCAGGAGAGCTGCCTCAGTTAGTTCTGCCGTCACCTGGTAATGTAGTTACTTCAGAGAGGGAGAGCGTTATCTTCCTGCTTTCAGAGATGAAGAAATGCAGACGAGGGGCTTCGCTGGTGACAGCTTGGGCCCACACTCCAGCTGGTTCTGTGTTCCCTCCATCCTCTCACCCTGCCTTTCAGACAGGTTTTGTGTGTGTGCTTATTTCTCTTCTACTCAGCTGTTCCTCGGGTTTGTGTCTGCTCTGCGCTCCAGCAGGTCTTGATTCCTCCCAGTGGGAGGGGAGGCATGAGGAGTGGGGTGGTGTCTGATTTGGGGGCCAGCCTGACCTGGTCACAACCCGGGTTCCCAGTCACCTCTGGATCTGTTCTGTGCCACTGACAGACCAGCACATCAGGGAAAGAAAACATGTGTTTTGCCTGGACTTCTCTTCCGCAGGACAGAAAGCAGGACAAGCTCTTGGAGCAGCCGTTTCTGGCGGGTGCTGATAGTCCGGAGCGGTCCCCCACCAGCTCTGGGTCACCGTCAGCGTCACCGTCAGCACCCTCATCAGCGAGTTCTGGGAGCAGTGAGGACGAGGACAGTGAGGAGGACGCCCTCCCCCCGGGCCTCAGCCCTTCTGAGGGGTCTGGCCAGTCTGTAGCCGCCTCCAGCAGCAGCCCAAGGGAAGATGAAGACGTGTTAAAATATGTCAGGGAGATATTCTTCAGCTAAGGGACCAGACCCAGGACTGTGCGCCAAGAGCAGAGTCCTGCCGAGGACTTCCTGAAGAGAGAGGGGCTTCCCCTCCCTGCCTGCAGACTCACCAGGATGGCGGGTTCTGGTGGACGACTGCATGGGAGTGAGACATCGAAGGATGCCTGCACCCTGTGCCCTCTCCCATTTCAGGGGTTCTGTTTTATTCAGTTACCAGGTTTCTGGGAAAATGAGGACACAGCAGTCAAACTTAATGGAGCCAAAGTCAACCATTTTCAGAACAGAAAGAACATGGCCGCTCAGTTTCCAGGACCCCTGCAATCAGTCAGCTGCGGCTCTCCTCAAGGAGGAAGCCTGTGTTCCGGATAGCTCCTGTCAGGGGCCAGTCGCTCCCTGGGCCTGCCCACCCCTGCCTCCTCCTCTGGTGGCCTTGGCCTCTGCCCCTAGGCAGATGTCAGGCTAGAGCTGGGCAGGAGCCCGCCAGGGTGGGGATCACCACTCCACATGCTGTGCGGCTTCTGGCAGGCAGAGAGTGAGGTCATCATTCGCTCACGGGTTTTCAAATATACGGGGCTGAAGATACCCGAGTCCCCAAGCTGTCGGAGTCCTTTCTGCTGTGGCTTGAGGAGGGGAGGGCTGCCGTGTCCGTGTGTGTCTAAGCCATCCAATCCTGCTCACCTTCCTCTCTTGCCTGAGGATTTGGCAAATTCTGCTCCTGAACTCCTGGCTCCCAGGCGGGGGGTGATTTCCTAGTGGTTCCTGAGATCCGTGCACATCTGGGCCAGGAGCCTTCTCTGAGGAGCCCTTCCTGCAAAGCCACCCAGACAGCTCTTCCTGGCCACGTATCGGTCTTTGGTGTATCACTCCTGGGCCTCTGGAAGTGGCGTCCCTGAGGGGGGCTCGGCACTGCACACCCACCAGAGGGCTCCCCGGGACACTGAGGTTCTTACAATGTTCTCCACGTATCAGTCTAAACCACCTACAAGTGAAGCAATCCGGCAGGCCATCCTGGATGTCTGGCCGGTGGGAGGAAGCCTTATCTTCCTCACTGCCCTGCAGATAAACAATGCTTGCTCAGCTCAGTTAAAGTGGAAGTTGTGAGCTTCGTGGTTTTAGGGCCCCCTTGGAAACCACAAAATTCCTGAAAGCCTTATGCTAAGAAGCTGCGGTTGCCCTGTCCAGTCTCGGGTGTCCCGCCCTGCGCATGCGGGTCCCCTGGCTAGAAGGCCGAGGTCAGCATGAGCAGGTGGCTGGGCACACAGGCCCGCCAGGGACTCCGACACCGCCCTGAGCACAGTTTAGACTACCCAGCCCTTGGGGAGCCTGAGGGCAGCACTAGTAGCTCTCCAGCTTGCTCTCCATTCCTGCCCTCCGAGGGAAGGCCATTGTGGCAATAAGCAAGACAATGAGTAAGGTTTGGGCCAGGCCTAGCGCCACAAAGCCAGGACCCAAGAGGGGGAGCTGGATCCACCTCCACGTGCAGGTGAAGAAGAGGCCCAGGCCGCTGGCCAGCAGCACCGAGGACACGCCCAGGAAGACCACGGCCAGCTGCCACTCTCCGTTGTTACGTTTGCACCAGGCCAGAAGCAGAGGCAGGGGGACGAAGAGGGCGAGGACCAGGGCTCCGTACACGCCGAGCCTGGCCAAGGCCAGGCCGGCTTGCGGCACCTGCAGCGCCCCCAGGTCCTGGTAGCACTGGAGGGAGCCGGTGACCTCGTTCCACAGGCAGAAGTTGTAGAAGCCGATTCTCATGTTGGGCAAGTCGATGAGGTTGCCGGCCTTCCAGAGCAGAGCGTAGAACAGCAGGGAGATGACGGTGACTGCGAGGGCCAGGATGCCCAGGAACAGCAGTTGGAGCCACCACCCCGGCCGTGGGGGGACCATTTTCTCCTGTGCCTCCCCGGGCTGCTTTCCGTGCCCCTGAGGGGAAGCCACACCATGAGTATCCACCTCACCCAGTTTCTTCACAAACTCAGTTCCCTTTCTGGAATTCCATGAGAACTATGGCGAACTCCCTCCTCCAAGCCCCCCCAAACCCCTCAAACAGCTCAGGCCAGGACCCCTCATAAGCCAGCAGGTGAGTTGGGCGGGAAGGCTCTCCGGGCAACGCAGCCGTGTGCCTGACCGGCTCCCTGGGCACCCTGGGGCCGAAGGCTTTGATGCAGCACAAACACCACAACCACCAGAAACAAGGGAGGGGGCTCTCGGCTCCCCACTGGGGGTGTGCTGGGAGCGAGGGAGAAGGGGAGCCTGGTAGAACCAGACGGACTGTCTGTGGGGCAGCTGCCATGAGGCCCCCTGAAGAGCTGCGGGGAGCATCATCCTGGGCTGTGGACCCGTCTTGGGCCACACACTGGCCACAACACTTAATCCAGCAGGGCCTGGGGGACTCCACGGGCTCGGGACGTCACTCTGGTGAAACCACAGCACAGGACTTGTTTTTTTTTAAATGTCTACACTTCTGACTGTAGTCATTTGTTAATGATAGAAATACCAGAAGCCTTTTATCGAGGAAAAAATCATGTCAAATAACGTTTTATCCCACTGCATACATAGAACTGCTGTTAATTTTCCGCTACTAGCTTTTCCCCAGGTGCAGATGTACTTTTTTTTTTTTTTTTAAGATTTATTTATTTGTGCATACAGAGCCGGGGTACAGGCCAGAGGCTCAGGGGCAGTGAGAGGATTCACCAGAGACAGAGCCGGGGACAGAACAGGCAGATCGACGAAGTACACTGCTGAGGGGGAGCAGCAGGTGGGTCAGGAGAGGCCTGCCGCGCCCTGTGGTCACCTCTGGGGCAGGCGGGGATCGAAATCATGCAGAAGCAGCTTTAGCCTCTCAGTGCTGTGCTTTAACCCGCTGCGCCACCAGGGAGGGCCGGTGCAGATGTATCTTTTTTTTTTTTTATTACAAAGTTTATTTTTACATCATTTTGCACATTTTTTTTTCCATCTCGATTGTAATCCCCGTGGGTTTCCCATCACCAAATCACCCCGGTGCAGATGTATTTTTAACTAATCAGGCCATAGGACAGAAGCCTTTTCTCAGCCAATGTTGCGAAACTCTTGCAGGGTTAAATGTCCTCCCCGAGCACATGAGTGGCTGTACATCACAGGCCTGCCTTGCCCTGGTGTCGACATGACCTTCCCATTTCCCAACACTGTCCATGAGAGCCTTGGGGGAAGTTTGCATAATTCTGGTTTGTCATTTGTTTCTTCCTGAAGCTAAGTGACTGAAAGTGCAATCGTTAGATCAGAGGTAGAACTGCACATTGCCAAACTGAGCTGAAAACTCGTTCGCGGTGGTCCCTCTAGTCGTACATAGTATTTATCTCCCTTGTCGGTTTTGAAAAATCTTTCACTACATTTTCATCAGAAGGACCACCCCAAACTGACCTCTAAAACAGTCGTCTTCATACTGTATAATTGTCCAAAATGGAACAAAACATCCCTTTTATCCTCACACGCTTGGGAACACGGACTGCAGTTCTCAGGAGATACAGGCTGGCCGCCTGTCAGCCCTCCAGCCTCCCCCAGCAAGGTCCCCAGGTCTCTGCCAATGGGAACACAGATCTGTATTGTATTGTTGGATGAAGCAGTGAAGTGAATCGTGGCCCAGAGAAAACATAATCCTATGATCAACTTCACAGAAGCCCCTTGGGAGAAGTAGCCCCCTCTGCCAGAGATAACTCGAGCATCTCCACTCATTCCACTGTTCTACAAGAACAGAAAGGAGCAAGTAGAAAAATACATGTGGTACTGTATGAGGACTAGGATGTGTGACAGGCTGAAGGCAGGCGGCCTTGGTCTGTTTGGGCTCTTTATTAAACAGATTTCTCACAGCAGATTGGGTGTGGCTTGAGGATGCCTTCCTGGGTCATAGCCAGCTAGTCACCTTGCTGTCCCCTCACAGAAGGTCAGAAGCACTGAGATCACCATTTGCAGGCAATATGATAATATACATAGAGAACCCTAAAAATGCCATGGAAACACTAATCAAAATAATCAACCAGTTTACTACAGCAGCAGGATACAAAATCAACACACAAAAATCAGTAGCCTTCCTATATGCAAACAAAAATCCTATATTATTTTTTAGTCTGAAGGAAAAATCGAGAAAACCATCCCTAAAATACTTGGGAATAAACCTAACAAAAGAGGTGAAGGACAAAGAAAATTATAAAGACATTATTAAAAGAAATAGAAGAGGGGCTTTAACCTCTTCTATTAACCACCTCCCTGGTGGTGCAGCAGGTTAAAGCACAGCACTAAGAAGCTAAAGCCACTTTAGCACGAGTTCGATCCCCACCCTGGAAGTGACCCACATGGCATGTCAGACCTCTTCTGGCCCACCTGCTGCTCCCCTCAGCAGTGTACTTCGTCAGTCAGCCTGTTCTGCTCCCTACTCTGTCTCTGGTGAATCCTGTCACTGCCTCTTCACCTCAGTTCTGCCTATACCCCTGCCTATACCCCAGTTCTGTATGCATAAGTAAATATTACAAAAAAGAAAGAAAGAAATAGAAGACACACACACACACAAATGGAACAACATCCCTGGCTCATGATGGTAAGAATTAACTACCAAAATGGCCATCCTACCAAATGCAATTTACACATTCTATGCTATCCAATAAAAATATTTCAATGACATTCTTTAAAGAAATAGAATATTGAAAAATTTTAAAAAGATATAATTTTGCATACAAAAACTGGGGTACAGGCCAGAGGTGTGGGGGTAAGAGGATTCACCAGAGACAGAGTGGGGAGCAAATTACTGAAATGCACTGCTGAGGGGGGCAGCGGGGAGACAGGAGAGGTCTGCTGCGCCATGTGGGTCAGCTCCCTGGCCTGGAAGCGAACTCAGGCTGCAGTGGCTGTGGACAGCTTCATAGTTTAGTGCTATGCTTTAACCCATTGTGCCACAAGGGACAGGCCCAAATAATGATGAAGTTTACATGGAGACACACAAAAAAAACTCAAATAGCCAGGTTGTAGGAGAATGGAGGTATCACATGCCCAGACTACAAAGCCATAAAAATTACAAGTCAAACTCAGGTTACTAACTCGAACAAAACCAGATACACAGACCAATGAAATCGAATAGAAAGCCCACATATATGAACAACTAATCTTTGATAAAGAAGCAAGAATATGCAATGAAACAAGGACAGTTTGTTCAATAAACAGTGCCGGGGGAAACTGGACCACCATAAGCCAAAAAATGAAACTAGACCACTACCTCACACCATGCACAAAAATCAACTCAAATTGGATAAAAGATTTGAACATAAGACCTAAAACCATAAAATATAGAGGAGAAAATATAGGTAAAACACTACAGAGTATACATCTCAGTAACATCTTTACAGAATCCCCCCACTAACAGAGAAAGTGAAGGAAAAGATGAACAACTGAGATTACATCACACTAAAAAGCTTCTGTACAGCAAAAGCGACACTCACTCAAATAGAAACACTCTACTGATTGATTGGGAGAAAATCTGCACTTCATACAATACGAGACTGATCACAAAGATGTACAAGGAACTCACAAGACTCAACAAAAACAATCTAGTCAAAAAATGGGCAAAAGAAAAAATGCAAATGGCCCACAGACATGAAAAAAATGTTCAACATCCCTCATAATCACGGAAATGCAAATCAAAACTCCAATGAGATACCACCTCACACCGGTGAGAACGGCACCTATTAAGAAAAGTAGCAACAACAAATATGGGTGGGGATGTGGTGAAAGAGGAACTCTCCTGCACTGCTGGTGGGAGTGCACACTGGCGCAACCACTATGGACGCTGTGTGGAGGTTCCGTTTCTAGGAATCTACCCACAGGACACCAATACATTAATACAAAAGGATGCCTGCACCCCTATGTCTATTGCGGCACTGTTAACGATAGCTCAGACCAGGAAACAACACAAATGCCCAAAAGTAGGTGACTGGATCAAGAAGATGTGGTACATATACACAAGGGAATACTGTTCAGCAATGAAAAAGATAAACATGCCATTCTCAGCAACATGGATGGGGCTAGGTGGGGTCATGCTCAGAGAACTAGGAAGAAAAAGAAAAACACTGATGGCTTCACTTATAGGAGATATATATAGGGGGACCGAATAAGGGATCGGGGAGAAAATAATAAAAATACAGCAAAACAAAAAATCAACAGGCCACTGTAAGTCAGAGACATTCTGCAGGGGAGAGGAGGGAAAGGGATCAAAACAAGGGTTGGAAGAACACAGACAACTATGATGCCTGGGTGAACTGGTGGTGGGGACTCTGGGGAAGAGAAAGCAAACATTGCACAAAAATGAACAATGAGGTAAAAAATATATAAATAAGGATTTTTTTTTTTTTTTAAAAGAATGACGCCTCCTAGCACCATCACACTGGGCAGTGCATTTCACACTGGGGGAGAACACACATTCAGGCCCTCGGTGGTGGTTTCATTCAAGAATGACAAGAAAACAGATCTATCAGCAACAGCCTTGTTGAGAGACCTGGAGACCTGCCTGTTAGAAGCTCAACCCAAGGGGCTGGCCAGGGGCCCTTCAGGCTGCTGCACCCCTGGCTTCTGCCCAGAGCTTCTCCTGTGGGAGCCTTCAAGGGAACCGGGTGGGAACTGTGCACGGGAAGAGCGGCTGCGTCTCAGAGGGGCCCCGGGGCTGCCCTCTGCAGCACTGGTCAGTCTTTGGGGGCCTGAAGCCCGGTTGGGACGCTCGCGGCTGGGAGAGTCCCGGAGCCGCGAAGTTTGCTGGAGGGAGGCTGAGCCCCGCTGAGGGAAATGGCCGGAGCAGCAGCCTGTTTTGTTGGGTTCTGCATGTTGAACCACCATTCAGGAGCCTGCGTCAGGTTTTGAACGCGGCCCGGGACTCGGGTGGAGGCGGATTCACAGGCTGGAGCTGC